TTTGCTTTTAGGGCCAATTTTTTTTCAGTTTCTGACATAAATTGTAATGATTTCGACTACCAAATGTGACAACTCCAAATTGATAGCTTTTCTTTAATAGTAAAGCTTGTTTCTTTCAAATCAAGTTATGCTCTTTGAAATTTGTGTGCAGTCACAGAGAGTAAAGTCCCTTTGTATATTACAAAATTCTCTTTCCTCCTTTTGTATCAGATTTTGCTGAGTTCAATTTGTCATCAATTTACAGCGTTCATCAGGTAGAGTTGGAATCGTCTTTCAATACTTCTTTATATGAAGTTTTATTTGCTGGTGCGTTCCTTCCCGTTCTTTGTTTCCAGCTTCCTACAGATCCCGACCGGCTCGTTACACATTCTCTATTTGTGATTTAGTATCGATAAAGATATGGTTGTTGGGGAGGGAAGGGCTTCAAAATATACTCTTCTTTCATGAACATAGTGAAAACGCTATAAAAATGTAGTAAAAACCTATTATGACATTGGGATGTTTACTAGGACAAATGGGATGTGAAGGTTGTGAGCTTTTTGATGCACTACAATTTGCAAACAATGGCCCATCAAAAATTTTAGTAATTTAAGATTTAATTATGTCTAACATGCTTATCAGTCGTAGTAAATAGAATTTTGGTGAAAGCTCACAAAATTTCTATTGAGATCGTGAAATGAATTTATTTCATGATTTTATCATAACGATCAAAAATAATAAGTCTATGAACATTTTTTTTAGCGTACGTGCTCTGATCAACTACTATTCCATTTACTTCCAACTATTCTGCACATAAGGTTTTCAGAGATGGCTTCAATCTTAGATGTTAGTGCTCGTTGTTCATCATAAAAAATAAGAGACTTCCTGAACGATTATTTGCAGCATAGATTTGTTTATTTACAAATACCTCTTTTTGAATTACGAGACGCGGGTGGAGCTGATATCTGTGTACCAGTTATGAAAAATGAAGATGCTGATCTCAAGCTGCATTTTAACATTAAAAATCATTCATGAAATTTCCTTTTGAAGAATGACAAGAGTTCGAAATGTAGGTATTATGGAAAACACGCGATTGAGTTTTTCTTGAGTATGATTCAGATTGAACTGAAATGAGCTTCGTATAAACAAGTTTGGCATATGCATTTTTCAAAAGTTCGACATAAAGAATTATCCTGGCAGTTTCCTAACCTTCGCAGCTTTACCGTCATAATCTCAGAATTGCAGCTATGCTCATGAAATTTATTGTTTTTTTTTCAACCTTCGTCGTAGCGAATGCGATAGTAGATAAAGGATTGAAGCGGAGGATGAACGTCTTGGAGGAGGCTATGTGCCATCTTACCCGCTTTATTAGATGAGATAAGAAAGCTGGTTTGTGCAGCTGTATTTACTAGTTCCTCTGAGTAATCTTAATTGCTAAATGCGGTTTTTGCAAGAAAGACCCTACATCTTCTCATGGAGTACTTGCTGCTTACCAAATCAACTGCAAAAAATTGCATTGCGAGAGGTTTGACAAGCCTTCGAAGTCCAAGCGCCATGGAAAGAATAAGAAAAGAAAGAAGACAAGCAAGCAAGATAAAGGGAGTCATTTTCAATACTGCACCATCTGAGTGAAATACTCATTTCCAAACATGACTAACTTTGTTTCTAAGGTGAATGAGCTACCTCAATTTTTACTTGATACAGAATGCTACTCTATTGCCCACCTCATAGATCCCGTTTTAAATGACCTCCAAACTACGGAATTGAAGCAAGCAAAATCTCATTAGTCTCTTTTTCACTTTCAGTGGCTTTGATTTCACAAGCTATTATTTAGAGCAAAGAAGATGAATCATTCCCGGTGAACCAAGTTCGAGCGAGTTTTGAAATTTTCAAATGTTGGGCCACCTGAGTGAGATGGTCATTTTCGAACACGAATTGACTATTTTATTCTAAAGGTATATTAGCTACCTCTTCTAGCACTTAATTTAAAGATCAATACAAATACAACTCCTTTCTTTCCCACCATAGAAGTCCCGCTTCAAAAGACCTCCAAACTATGGAAACATAATAGAAACAAGCCATTCTCGCTTTTAATGGCTTAATTCCCCAAACTTTTACTCAGCGCGAAGAAGGTAAATCAGGCTTAAACCACTTCTGTGAGAACTACGGTATTCAGTTATTGAAATGCGTATATTAGTTTTTAAAAATTCTTTCAGAGGTGAATTAATGGTGGTTATGCCAAACCCCATTAACTTGTCCCAGAAACACTTTTTTGCAAACCTTAGTCCCAGGAACACTTTTTTGCGAACCTTATTCTACGAGAACAATAGCTTGAATCCCGTGGTTTTTGAAGGAATGATTTAAGCCTGATTCGTCTTCTTTGCTCCAAATAACAGCTTGTGAAATCAAAGCCACCGAAGGCGAAAAAGAGACTAATGAGATTTTGCTTGCTTCAGTTCCATAGTTTGGAGGTCATTTAAAACGGTATCTCTGAAGTGGGCAATAGAGTAGCATTCTGTAATTAGTAAAAATTGAGGTAGCTTATCCACCTTAGAAACAAAGTTAGTCATGTTCGGAAATGAGTATTTCACTCAGACTAGTGAACCAGCAATCTGAAGGTGCTATTGGCAAGGCGTTCGCTTCGAGACCGCGCCGCAGTTTCTCGCTATGTGCACATTTTTGAATTGCGCTTACGATTCTTCATATTTCACTCAGATGGTGCAGTATTGAAAATGACTCCCTTTATCTTGCTTGCTTGTCTTCTTTCTTTTCTTATTCTTGCCATGGCGCTTGGACTTCGAAGGTTTGTCAAACCTTTCGCAATGCAATTTTTTGCAGTTGATTTGGTAAGCAGCAAGTACTCCATGAAAAGATGTAGGGTCTTTCTTGCAAAAACCGCACTTAACAATTAAGATTACTCAGAGGAACTAGTAAAAACAGCTGCACAAACCAGCTTCCTTATCTCATCTAATGAAAGCGGGTAAGATGGCACATAGCGTCCTCCAAGACGTTCATCCTCCGCTGTCAATCCTTTATCTACTATCGCATTCGCTACGACGAAGGTTGAAAAAAAAAACAATAAATTTCATGACCATAGCTGCAATTCCGAGATTATGACGGTAAAGCTGCGAAGTTTAGGAAACTGCCAGGATAATTCTTTATGTCGAACTTTTGAAAAAATGCATATGCGAAGCTTGTTTATACGAAGCTCATTTCAGTTCAATCTGAATCATACTCAAGAAAAACTCAATCGCGTGTTTTCCATAATACCTACATTTCGAACTCTTGTCATTCTTCAGAAGGAAATTTCATGGATGATGTTTAATGTTAAAATGCAGCTTGAGATCAGCATCTTCATTTTTCATAACTGGTACACAGATACCAGCTCCACCCGCGTCTCGTAATTCAAAAAGAGGTATTTGTAAATAAACAAATCTATGCTGCAAATAATCGTTCAGGAAGTCTCTCATTCTTTATGATGAACAACGAGCACTAACATCTAAGATTGAAGCCATCTCTGAAAACATTATGTGCAGAATAGTTGGAAGTAAATGGAATAGTAGTTGATCAGAGCACGTACGCTAAAAAATGTTCATAGTATTAATTTTAATCGAAATTATGAGATAAAATCATGAAATGAACTCATTTCACGATCTCAATAGAAATTTTGTTACCAAAATTAATTTATTTCGATCAACAGTAATAGTTCCATGAACATTTTTTGATCGAAATAAAATTCTGAATTGTATTATACTTCTCTCACATTCTCAGTAAAAATTTTGTTTCCAGAATTTTATTTCGATCAAAAAATAGTAGTTCCATGAACATTTTTGATCGAAATAAAATTCTGAAATGTACTCCTCTCACAATCTCAATAGAAATTTTAGTAAGGTTTCACCGAGATTCTTTTTTCAATGGCTGATAAACATGTTAGACATAATTGAATTTCAAGATATCAAAATGTTTTATGGAACGTTGTTTGCAAGCTGGGGTTTATCAAAAAGCTCACAATTTTTCATACTCCATTTGCCCTAACGAAAACAAGCTTTGCAATGCAAAACGGGATGCTCACCACAGTTTTATAGCGTCCTTACTAGGTTCTGAAGAGATGAGTATTTTTTGAAACCCTTCCTTCCCTAACAACCATATCTTTATCTATACTGACTCACAAATACAAAATGTCAATGAGCCGGTCGGAATCTGCAGGGGGTTGGGAACAAAGAGGGGGGAAGTACGCGCCAGCAAAAAAACTTTTAGGTCAAGAAGTGTTGAAAAAACCACCCCACCCAAATCTACCTAATGAATGTTGTGAAGAAGTGACAAAATGAGCTCAGCAAAACCTGAAACTGAGCTGAGCAAAGAAGATTTTGTAGTATACGTTTATTTGTATAGAGGATTTTTACTCTCTGTGATTGCACATAAATTTCAAAAGTAATTGCTTAAAGTGAGAGAAAGCTTTAAGTATCGAAGGAAATATCTAGTTGTAGTCGCTACGTATGGTAGTTAAAATGGTAGTTAAAATCATTACAATCAAATCAGAAACTGAAAGAAAATTTCTCTTGAAGCAAAAACGAACTTCGTCTTTATGGTTTCGTAAGGGAATTTCCACCCATTTTCGAGATAGCAGAAGTTGAAGTCTACTCATAGAAAACTGTGATTGATTGGGACTTAGTAAGGTAATGCGATCTTCGTTTCTTCATTATTCAAACAAATCTTAGCCAAAGAATCTTGGCGACACTAGGTTCGGCATGACTGCATAGCTGCTAATTTTGCAATTTGCCAAATTTTAATGTTGATGTTTTTGATGACATTGTCCTTTTGAAACCAGTCTGAATGACAAGGCATTTGACTACCTTGAATCAAATCTGGAATGTGATAGTCAGGGTAAAGCGGGAGGTGCGGCACACGACCGTCGGGTACGACCCCCCCTTGGGGCCGGACCCCGGCACGACCCCCCCCCCCCCATTCCCTTCCCCCCTTCTTGATATTTGGTCCAAGCCAATCGATTTTGACCTTAACGATTACACTACGAGTAGTACGGCGCTGTTACGGCGCTTCTCCAGCTAAAAATGCACATGCAAAAAGCAGATATAGTAATTAAGAGGTACCTTTTCAAGTTCTTCTGCCGATGGGACAGGTAACCAAGCGTTAATATCCAAAGCATAGTATTCTTCTCCGGGTATTGTCATAAGGAGCGCTCTAAAATCATTTACTCCATCAAACTCATTTTTTTGCGAATGTAAATAAGAACAATACAGTAAGACATAGCGGAATGGGAATTCAACGCTTGAATGAAAGCAAAACAAGAAAAGAGACTTGAAGAACTGCCTTCCAGGGTCTTATAGTTAGAACACGGTATGTATAGTTCATTTATAAAATCGTGACGATGGATTTTGCTGCGGACTTTGCGCCCACAGGAGCGCAAAACGCTCATACAAGAAGGCATCCCCTCACAGTTCAGCTCAACATTCAACTAGAGATGAAAACTAAGAAAATACGTTTTTCGGAAGTGGCGGGCGTGTCGCGCGCGGTCGCGCCATCCTCATGATTTTTTAAATGCCCTATACTATATTGCGAATAAGACTACCAATCAAGCGGATACGACACAGTAGATTTTATCACTCTTCCAGAGAGCACTGGCGAAAACTTCGAGACTAACCTATTCATGAAAGGTCCTGGAGCGGGATTCCTATGTGCACATGCAGCCTTTATGACAGCTGCAATATTGGCTTCCACCTCGCTTTTTGCCATATCGAGCTGAAATTTCAAGCACTGACCTGGTGTATTACTCAAAAAATCCATTGCAAACCAAGCTAATCAATTTATTAGATTTTTCCCAAAAAGACTTGAATCAAAGGAAAAGCCTGCCTCACTTCCACTTGTCTAAGCAGTGCACATTAGTGAACTCAGAAAAACGTAACTATACGTACCCTGCCAACAACAGCGTCGCACAAACCCCGGATGGGATATACAGGATCGCCCTTGATAAGCTTGACACCACTCTTGAACTTATGCACAAGGTCAGGTAAATTTTCTCCAGGACTACCTGCAAAACTATTTCAGTCAATAAGGATGGAATGAAAACGCCAACTAGGCGAAGACGCTGACCATTAGATCTGGTAGGAAACTTGGTTCTCAGAATCCCCCTCAGAGGTAGAATGTAGGAAGCCATGTCGGTATGAGCAACGCAGAAATCATAATCATCAGTTCGGAATTGGCCTTTGATGATCTTAAACAAGATCATATAAACAATTATAAACAACAAGAAAATGACTACCTTTTTGACTACATCCTGATCAAAAGCTATTTTAGTCCAGACTCAACGGCGACTTCCTGAAGTTTTGGATCGTTTACAAAAGCCAATATAGTACGTTTTTCATTGTGTATGGAAGGAAAAGGCACTGGCACGATTTCGTCTGAGTTTTTCAGCATCTTGGTCTGAAGCAGAGCGAATGCTCAGAGCTAAGTTTCCAAAATGATAACAGTAAAGTGGTGAAATGGGAGGGATAGAAGCGACTTTCTTGTCAGAGATCTACTAACCTGCCTTTCTGTCTGCATATTCAACTCCAATCGCAGTCTCAGTCGCGCAGGGATGTAGAATTTGTTGTCCCATTTCTCTAAAAGCTCTCGGTGTCTGAAAGAAAGGCCTCATATAACGAAACCGACGAAAAGAAGTACAAATTCAAAAACAGTGGAAGGCATTCAAATTAATCAGCTTGCCGCCTTTCTGCATCGTTTACGCATTAACGCAGAAAGGCGTCAAGATAAATTTGCGTGCTACCGTAATCCGATATCTTGGAAGCCGCACGATGGATGGTAGTTAATAGAAAAAGCGCTATATCTCATTCTGTGCGGGAAAGTTTTGGATGAAAATCGTACTATAGAGAGAAGAAGGTTGAGCGGTAGCAACGACATTAAAATCGTAGACATTCAACGGCTTTAAGGGTAAGTTAGTGGGGTGCGGTTCCTCCCCCCCCCCCCTTAAAAGCTGCGGCAGCCGCAGATTTTGGGGGGGCCGCACCCTATTAACTATATCAAAAAGACATTTTTATTAAACATTATTTCTATGAATCGATAGCCTAAACCTCGTAGATTCCATAGGCATGTTTTGAGCCTGATTTGTCTTCTTAGCTCTGAGTAATATTTGGTGAAAGCACAGCCATTGAAAGCGAAGAATGGGAAAAATGAGATTTTGGTTGGCTTTTGATTCCACACTTTGGAGGTCTTTTGAAGCGGGATTTCTGAGACGGACAAAGAAGGAGTAGTGCTTTGTCTTGAGCGCAAAAACGGATAGCTAATTCACTTAAGAAACAAAGTTGATTATGTTCGAAAATGACCATTTCACTTGGGTGACCAATACTTGCAAACCTAAGAATTCGCTGAAACTTGGCCGGTAGGGGTTATTTGACATGCTAAATACGAAAATGATGCTCTCATGCTTTTAGGGCTTTCTTATCATGCTGAATTTATGTATAATGGTAGTCTAAATCATCAGTGTGCTAGTGTTTGGCATAATGGGCCTATCTGACATTGTTTCGAATATTATGTTAATGCTTACTTAGTAAAGCCTCGATAATGACCCCCCAGGTGTGGCGTGCCGCACCCCCCGCATTACCCTGGTGATAGTTTTTGACTAGTGGATTCTTGACGCAGCTCATGAGCTTATACCTGATGCAAAAACACAGTAATTCGGAGGTGGCGGGTCCTGTTACATAAGATGGTAAGGGAGACAAACAGGCAAGAACGACGCTTCATTTAACTACTGCTGATTTGGGAGCACTTTTCTACCATGGATTTCTCAAACATTTGATATTGAGTGGTATTAGCAAATACAGTATGAATGGCCAGGTTTGTACAGTCTTTCGTATCTGCACACTAGTTCTAGACAAACAACAAGTAATGTCATTCGTTCGAGGATCATCTGCACAAATACACTGACTGTGTAAGCAGTCGCTTGTTTATTGCACTATATACATTGTACGTTGGTTGCGGTCAAAACATACGTAAAGAAACAGCCTAGTGTTAGCTTATTTGTGTAACTCGATTTTAGGAGAGCTTGTTTTCGCGAGCGCAGCTTTTCTGCTGGGCCACTTTTTGTGTCTAAAATCATACACGACACAATTCAGCTTTATTCTTCACTAGATGGCGTCCTGGTCCCGCCCGGGAATTGGGCTACTTGATCTCAAACGCGTCGAGACTTACCGCTCTTCTCCATATCCGCGACGAAACTGTGATATGTCTTCCTTGCTAACTTGAGACACCGGATCTTTTTTGCTGAGAAATGTAAAGGAACTTTACCGCTCGACTTACTGACTATGAGGAAATGATGCAACAATGGTTGGTGAACCCTCGATGTAAATAAACAAAACAATAAATCGATTGAAGGGCCCAACAAATCGAAAGGTTGCGGAAGGTAGCCTGTCTTCTGCGCTTGCCTTATTTACAAGGGGAACTTTAGCCTCATTGGTTCACACACAAAAAATCTTATAAGCCACATACTTACTAACGAACAAATTTACAGAGTTTCGGTTTTATTTTTATATATAAGTCATTAACAAAATAAAAAGAATGGATTAAAAGCTGATCACAGTATCTCCTAGAATGCACTCAGGCAATTGCCAGCTTTCACTGCATAATTAGACTGTAGAAGAGGATGTAATGCCGTGCTACTCATCATGAAACGGTGCTTTACAAGTTTTCTTGTTCCGAGACAAATTTTTCCTGATGAGAGGATTTTCAAAAGCGAAAAGGATTATAAACTTACAACTTGCAACTTCTTTCACACAAACCTCATCTTGTCATATATTATAAATAGCAGTTTGAGCGGCCCACGGTTTTTGATAGCTTTCAATGCAAGAAATGAATGGAAATTATGAAAAAATAGTCTAATCGTTCTCAGTTTTTTGCACAGAAACACGAGCACATTATACTATTCAAATTTTTCGTCAACTCATCGAAAACGCTTTAAAATGAATGTTTTATGGAACGCGGCCACACAACGATGGAATAATTTTGAGCTGGTCTGTGGTTCAATCTCGGTGTGGGAACAAGTCATCAATCATCGATGCGATCGAAAACTTCAATAAAAAAAGAAATAAACCATTTTTTTCTTCAATGTGCAACCATGATTCGAATGGTTTATCCCCGCACCTCTCACTTGACAAGGACCGTCTGGAGAGTTCTCAAAGGACGGCCCTGTGGCTTTAGCGCATTGTGCGAAAAACAGGCTCAGGTACACATAAAGCGACAAAGCTTTTTGAACGTGAATAATTTTTGATACCAAATAACACCATGTCGATGTATAACGAATCATGCTATAAATAAAGCAATTTATTGGTTGACCACAAATCTTTGAGACTTCTCGCTAAAAGGGTGTTACCATATGGGATCTTAGATTGTGTTGAAATAGCTAACATAAGATAAACATCTACAAATATTTATCATATTAATTTTACACGGCACCGCGAGCACCTCATTACCTCTAAAGTGGTATAGGGCGAAACAAATGTAAGTCTTCAAAGGTTTGGATACAGATCAGCCACCGACGCCCGATTCTTAGCATAATTTCATTAGTGCAAAACGCACTTGTTTTTTCCAAACTCAATCAGCCTGAACAGATCAAAAAAGCTACCAGCAGACCCTCTACCGTGCTGATACTTTCCTAAAAGAATTATATGGGAGAAAGACCATTTCGCGATTCACAATGGTTCGACCGTGCTGCATGTTTGAAGAAATGAAAAAGTGCGTCTTTTTAAAAGTAACTGAGCTAATAATTGATTAAGGCATTTACACTAGAAATGTTCATGGACCTGTTATCTACGTTAAGGCCAGTTAAGCGATAAAATTCTGAAATGTACTCCTCATCACAGGGCCCAGCAGGAGGGTGGCAAAGTACTCGTGGTAGGTAGAGCAATTCTGAGGTGCTGTAGCAGCTGTTTATGACACAGCAAGACCTTATGTATTTGGGTACTGGGTATCAATAATTAATCTCCTCGATACTGTATGTCTATAATATCCCGAAAAAAAAGGTACTGTGACGAATATGCCATTCGTGACCAACTTCCCAGATGACCAGAAAATCCAATTAGCAATTCGTCTATTAAGCTCTCCCATAAGTTCTATATACTTTCACTTTTCATCCCAAACTCTCATTCTTCCTGGTTTCTAAGATCTGAGCACTTTCGACTGAGCAAAGCAAGCTCTTCGGATATTGTGTAGACTTATGCACGAAATGCTTTTAGCAATGAGCTCAAAATCAAAATCTGATAACTTTCAGAACCGTGGAGCTGCAAACGTAACGGAACTCCACCTAACAAATTTTGGGAGCCTCTAACTCGTTCCCGCACATTTTATCCAAAGTTTAAAAGCACACTTGCTGCATTATTCTCCAAAGATAGAAAGTGAGAAAAAAAGATATAGGTCGAATGTAGGAAAATGTCATTTTTTAAGATTTTTAACGCTAAATCTGACATTTTTCAGTTCTGCAAACTGTAGAAGGCTAAACAAACATGGGTTCGTAGTTTGAAGCCTGCGAAATCATCTATGTGGGAGCATCCCAGCATTGCTTTGAAACATGCTTGCGTTGAAGGCCAAACTTCAATTTCTACCTTCGAAATGCAGCACCTACGTGTATGAATCTTATTGCTAGATGCCTCACATGTGCGAACACGTTATGGCTACCAAAACATTTTTGGAAAAATTAGCGCTTCTGCGAGTATTTGATTCTAAAGTTTCTGGACATTGATTCTGTCTTTAGAGTGGGACGAATTTATAAAGTTTTTACGCTAATACTTTTGAAAATTGCTCTGCTCCTTTGAAAGGTTTATTTGAGCTACAAAATGCGGTTTATTTGGGGGGGGGGGGAGGGAACGAAAACAGACAGAACCCATGGAGCAACTTAATGTAATGTCGCTTTTGTACAAGTATCATAACAATTCGCTTCAACCTCTTGCGATGCTTGAGCATCTCTTACAGATTTCCAGGCGCAGCAATGCTGAATCCTTACACGAGACAAGTCTGTGAATCTCAGGGATTTACACCGATGGCTATTTTGAGGTTTTTTTGCCAGGTGAACTTATGAAAAGGTTCTACAAACCATCGTTGTCTGTTCGCCACCCGCACAGTCAGCTATTTTTATTTCTGATGTACTGCATTTCCGAAAAATTTGCTACATCCATGTAATACATTTTACCGTATTAACAATATGTGCCGAAAAATTTGTTTATCTAGCAAGTACATTGAAGAAATAGAGCAGAACTTCAGTAAAGTAGCCACTTCATTGTCTGTGCTAAGATATTGTGAGTACCTCGTTCTTGTGCACTATGAAAAAATGCTCCTTGGGCAATTTTTTGTATGCATTCAGCTTCGGTAACATAAGAAACGAACACCATTTTGGCACCACACTAGTATACTACCACTCATTCAACTCAGTTCTACTGCTAATAAGATAAGCACTTTGAGAAGCCGCCGGAAACGTCAAAAGATTTGAAGTATTTCGAACATCAGCGTCAAAAGAATGTTGACTCGCCCCAGTGGACTTTACAGATGAAATGTATATGATACTAAGTGCATGAAACATTCGCCTATCTTGATTGAAAGAACTTTCGGAACGAC